TCAACTTAACAATCTCGAACTCCTCCAACTTTCTCTTCTTTGATATCACTTCCTTTAAGAAGTTGGCATAGTTAGGCATTTGGGCTAAGACTTCTGCAAAGGGAATGTTGATGTGGATTTTCTCGAAGACATCCAGAAACTTTGCGAATTTCTCATCAAAATTTTTCTTCAAATGCCTCTGCGAAAATGGTAGTGGGGGCTTCAATATAGGTGGTTTGTCCAGAAATGAAATTGAGTAAAGCTTATAAATCTTATTTTTTATCTCTACCTCAGTTTTCTGCTCTTCAGTCTGCTTTTCCCCTGCAAGTATGGGATCCTATGTAAGCACCACAACCTCTCTAGGCTTGCGTTCTTCAACTAATCTACCATTCCTTAAGGTGATAGCATTGCAATGTTCCTTTAGGTTGACTTTCGTATCACTGGGAAATTTTCCTTTCTGTTGGGACTATATTGCAATTGCTATCTGACCAATCTATACCTCCAAATTCTTCACTGTGGCCCCTAAGTTGGTCATGTAAGTCTCAATGTTGTCAAGTCTTGCCTCATCTTTGTTGAATTTCGATCTGGTCTCCGAAATGAAGGTTCCTAGAATATCTTCTAATGATGGCTTTCGTTCAGATGCCTAATTATTGAACCTCCGATAGTAGTTGTTTCCTAAGTAGTTTCCCTTTTGATTGAAGTTCCGGTCATTCACGTACTGAAGTTGTTCATTCTCCTTTTTAGCTTTCTGGTATGCAGTGGATGTAGCCAGAATAGATTCTGATTTCGTTTGCAATCCATGTGAAGTCAATGCAGCTTTTTGGTTAGTGAGAGATGACATTTGAACTGCAAGGGCGGCAATGGGATCCACCTCATAAAGGCCAGCAACTTTCTTTTCACTTGAACGCTCACTCGGCCATTGATAACTATTAATCCAATAATGCATAATCCTCATCTGGAGTCTTGGACAATAATGCACATCCTGCAGCAGAATCTACCACTATCTGTGTCTGACCATTCAAATCTTTGTAGAAGGTTTGTATCTACAACGAATATGGGTAACCATGCCGAGGACATCTTCTTAATAAATCTTTATATCTCTCCCATGCCTCATAGAACGGTTCGAAGTCTGACAGTCGAAATTGCCCAATTTCACCCCGCAATTGCGCTGCCTTCGAAGGTGGAAAGAATTTTGTAAGAAACTTCTGTGCTAACCCCTCCTAAGTTGTGATGGATCCATACGGTAGTGATTGAAACCATGCTTTGGCTTTATCTCTTAGGGGAAAAGGAAAAATAGACGGAGTTGGATTGCATCTTCAGTAATGCCATTCATTTTCACTATATCATAGATCTCCAGAAAGGACCTCAGATGAGCATTTGGGTCTTCTGTTGGAGCTCCTCAAAATTGATTCTGCTGCATCATGTGTACAAGTCCTGGCTTTAGTTTAAAGTTGTTAGCAGCAATAGCTGGGCGTGCAATACGGGAGTAATTTTCGTTGATAGGTGGTATGATGTAGTCCTCTTATAGCCCGTTGTTGACCATTCTGATTGTTCCTCCTATAGCCCGTTGTTGACCATTCTGATTGTTCTGATTTGCTATTGGTGGATCTTGTTGTTCCATTGCTTCACGGTTGTATCTCTAAATGTACGTTCTGGTTCAGGATCAACAAGTAGTAAGTCAAGATTTCTCGCTCTTCGCACAAACAACTGAAAATAAGAACAAAGAAGCTATTAGAAATAAACACAAGACAAATAGAATAAATAAATAAATAATGAAAATTAAAGTTAAGATAGAAAGCCAATTGATAATAGTATCAATCGAAGTCAAATGAATCAATCCCCAGCAACGGTACCAAAAACTTGCCACGCGATTTATGCAACGTGATTTTATACCACAAGCGTACGGTGTCAAGTTTTGTAATATAGTATTAGAATAAAAGTATCGAACCCATAGGGATTGATATTTGAATTCTATCGAGTACTATTATTATTTTAACTTTCATTTTATTTAGACAATCTATTTTTGAAACGATATTTTATTGTTAAATTAAAATGAATGGGATGAATGATACAAAGTGAACAAGAGCAATTTGTAAAGTTTCTTATCAAATTATGAATGCTTAGGGAGTGATTTCACCATACTATCGACAGTGTTACAATTGTTATAACTATTTCTATCAATTTTCCAAAATTTATAGGCAAGAACTCTAAATTGATTTTATTTCCCTCTCTTGAGCACCAAATAGAATCTATTTCTATATTTTAATTCCAATATCTCTATTCCGATCTAACATATAGAAATTATAAAAGCACCTAGTTCTTTAAGTGGAATTAGCCTCAAAGATTCGCACTTTCTCTCGAAATCTAAGTTATGTTATTCTTAGATCACGCGTAAATTTACTTCTCTCGAGCGTCGAAATTTAAAACATCAAATCGGTCAATTACTGACCAATTATTGAAAGCATTGTGCAAGAACAACATAAATAAATAAACGAAAAGATTAGTTGAAATAATTATATAGGAATTAAAACATGTCTAAGTAGGCTACATCAAATCCCTAGGATTAAAGTCTAGTTCACAATAGAATAGATTGACATGGCAAAATATACAATAAAGAACATGGAGAAGAAGTAGGGAATAAGAAAACTAGTTTTGTTGCGTGAATTCTTCCCCCAATCGTCGTCAATCTTCTTGCAATTGCTTTAGTTGATCTTTGTCTCTTGAGATTTTCTTCTTGCAAGACTCTTTTTGCCCTCTAGAAGAAGAAGCGCTGATCTCTTCGTCCTTCAGGTTAAGTAGTATGATAAATTTTATTTCCATAAGAGTTTGTGTCGAAAAATGAATCTGCCCAATTTTTTTTCGGAAAATGCCTGCGCTCGCGCCGCCTATTGATTCTACGTTCTGCTTATGAAATTCAACCCCTTGCGCGAGCGTCAGTAAGAAAATTTTCCATGTGTTGCACTTTGGTCCCCATACTTCATTCTTCGTTCCTTTTGGTCCATATTTGACATCCTCTCGATCATTCATCTTCTAATATCATTTAATTGCCTCTCTCTCTTCTTCAATCATTAACATCATGTCCAAATCAACTTTTGATACCTTGTGATTTAGTCCCCAAACTTTTGATTAGGCCCAAGTTAGCAAATTTCCCGCTCTTCTGTCTAATTTCATTGTTTTGCATCGAGTTACACCTAACAAACGAAATATGTATGAAGTTAAGTATCAATTCATCCTAAATAACAAAAATTGCTCTAGTTTAATGAATGAAATAAGTGTATAAAATACACTTATCAATTACAGGGGCCGAACACAACACTTTTGCGGTTGCAAATAGATTGGTTGACAGGACAATCAATGACAGATTCAGTGTATTTGACGTGTATGAGCATTTTAGGGCGAAGGCAATGAAGATAATCTGGCCCAAAACTATTCGGAATGCATATGTGACTCCGAAGCACGCATTTATTGCATGGTTAGCAATTAAATCAAAGTTGTTGACGAAGGATAGATTGAAATTCTTACATACAAACTGCATATGCAGTTTGTGTACCACTCACGGGTGAGACCACGACTCACCTGTTTTTCGAATGCTCTTTCTGCCGATCAATTTTGGGAAAAATACGTGCATGGGTGGATTTTGGGCAATCTATGTCTACACTTCAAAGTGCAGTAAAATGGATTAAAAAGGAGAGTCGAGACACTACTTGGCATAGCAAGGTGAAATGTATTGCACTTGTGACTACCGTTTATACATTTGGACAGCAAGGAATATGATGATTTTTTAAGATCTAAGACCCTATAATGACCGTGTTGTTCAACGGATCAAAATACACGTGTGTGTGTGTGTTGTGTGTGTGTATTATTCGAATGTTTTGATTCAATATGAGTTTTTTGCTTTAGATCTCTAGATTGTATTGATTGTTCTTCTTTAGCACAAAAATGTCCCGTGTAATTGTACATCTACTTTGATATGATTGGCTTGAGAATGCCCAATGTTTTTGTATATAATTTTGATCAGAAAAAAAAAATTATTTTGATCTCCATCTCATATCTACCCCATTTCCTTTCAGTGGACCGTGCACGTGGTATACTCGAAAATTCGGGGAGACCACAACTGTTCCCATGTTGAGCGATAAATAGTAATATTTAGATTCAGTGTATTTGACGTGTATGAGCATTTTAGGGCGAAGGGAATGAAGATAATCTGGCCCAAAACTATTCGGAATGCATGTGACTCCGAAGCACGCATTTATTGCATGGTTAGCAATTAAATCAAAGTTGTTGACGAAGGATAGATTGAAATTCTTACATACAAACTGCATATGCAGTTTGTGTACCACTCACGGGTGAGACCACGACTCACCTGTTTTTCGAATGCTCTTTCTGCCGATCAATTTTGGGAAAAATACGTGCATGGGTGGATTTTGGGCAATCTATGTCTACACTTCAAAGTGCAGTAAAATGGATTAAAAAGGAGAGTCGAGACACTACTTGGCATAGCAAGGTGAAATGTATTGCACTTGTGACTATCGTTTATACATTTGGACAGCAAGGAATATGATGATTTTTTAAGATCTAAGACCCTATAATGACCGTGTTGTTCAACGGATCAAAATACACGTGTGTGTGTGTGTTGTGTGTGTGTATTATTCGAATGTTTTGATTCAATATGAGTTTTTTGCTTTAGATCTCTAGATTGTATTGATTGTTCTTCTTTAGCACAAAAATGTCCTGTGTAATTGTACATCTACTTTGATATGATTGGCTTGAGAATGCCCAATGTTTTTGTATATAATTTTGATCAGAAAAAAAAAATTATTTTGATCTCCATCTCATCTCTACCCCATTTTCTTTCAGTGGACCGTGCACGTGGTATACTCGAAAATTCGGGGAGACCACAACTGTTCCCATGTTGAGCGATAAATAGTAATATTTTATTGTTCATCCTCCATCCGGCCGCTCAAACACCCGTTGTAAGAAAGAACATTTACGGACTGTAATGGCAGACAACGTCACTTGTCACTACCTCCATTTTCTTTAATTAATTAATTACACGCGCAGATACACACATTTGTGTGTGTATATTAGTTGTGTATGTGTCCTCTATCTCTCTATCAAACCCAGGTGAGGTGAGATGGGATTTGGCTACTCTATTCGTTACAAAAAGCTTTTCCATTCCCTATTTCCTCCTTTTTAGAGGTCAAATCCCTTATCAAGGAAATTAAGGAAGATAAAAGCTTCACCTGTAAGAACTTTTTTATTTGATTTTTGTTCTTTTATATTCCCATCTTTCAATATTATTTTGTAAATCATACGATTGTAGTACTCTGTTTTGAGTTTTTATTCTATTCTTGAATGTTGATTCTAGATGAAGACGTCACTTGTCACTACCTCCATTTTCTTTAATTAATTAATTACACGCGCAGATACACACATTTGTGTGTGTATATTAGTTGTGTATGTGTCCTCTATCTCTCTATCAAACCCAGGGGAGGTGAGATGGGATTTGGCTACTCTATTCGTTACAAAAAGCTTTTCCATTCCCTATTTCCTCCTTTTTAGAGGTCAAATCCCTTATCAAGGAAATTAAGGAAGATAAAAGCTTCACCTGTAAGAACTTTTTTATTTGATTTTTGTTCTTTTATATTCCCATCTTTCAATATTATTTTGTAAATCATACGATTGTAGTACTCTGTTTTGAGTTTTTATTCTATTCTTGAATGTTGATTTTTTCTGAAATCATTATTATTTTCAGCGAAATCTTTCCCTTAAAGGTTTGGATCAAATGATCATTTGGAGATTTGCGTGAAAAGAGAAGCCCTTTTTTCAGGAAAAAAAATTCAAGCTGGTTAACTGCAATAAGATAATTGGATATTTTGGCCATCTCAACTTAGGAATAAGCGTAAAGATTATTACGACTCCTGAGGAAGTCTTCTGGAACTAAAAGCATTGGTTTTGTCCTATTAGGATTTTGAGGACTTGTAGATGGATAAAGGTAAGTCTCCAAATCATGGTAATGGAAGTTTCTTGCCTTCATTGGGAAGGTACTCTCTTTTTACGCCACCTGTTAGTAGTTATAATGGAAAATCAGAGCTATCTGGTTTGTCAAATTTGCCTCCCTTAAGACCAGGTAGTTCATCAGAGTTGGGTCATTTCGGTCATGGGATGTCGTCAGATTCGAGCAGATTTAGTCATGATGTTAGCCGAATGCCTGACAATCCACCTAAGAATTTGGGTCACCGGCGTGCTCACTCGGAGATTCTTACCCTTCCCGATGATATTACCTTTGATAGTGACCTAGGTGTTGTGGGCGGATTGGATGGACCCACATTTTCCGATGAGACCGAAGAGGACTTGCTCTCAATGTATCTTGACATGGATAAGTTCAATTCTTCATCTGCAACTTCTTCGTACCAAATGGACGACACGTCATCATCTATTCCAGCATCAGCACAGGTCAACCCTTCAGCTGATAGTATGGCTGCAGCTTTAAGCGAGAAGCCAAGAGTAAGACATCAGCATAGTCAATCCATGGATGGGTCAACTACAATCAAACCTGAGATGCTTTTGTCAGGTTTGGATGAATCCTCTTCAGCTGAGTCTAAGAAAGCCATGTCTGCCGCTAAACTTGCTGAGCTTGCACTCATTGATCCAAAGCGTGCAAAGAGGTGATATATGTCAGCTATTAACATATTTCCTGAAGTATGTTAGTTCTTTAGGCTTTGGTTTCTGTTTTGATCTATTATTTAACTGATTGAATGATCACTTCAGTGTGCTATTTCTGGGGCTTCCATTAATGAACCGGTGAGGACATTTGCACAGTATTTTGCATGCTGAAATCCAATTCTTCTTCCTTTTTCTCATATATCCCTCCTTTTTAATTGAAGTTGGGCAGTGTTAGGTGGTAACTTATTCATACTTTTGGCATGATACATTGAGATTTATAGTTACTTGCCAATTGCACTAGTAGTTTTCTTATTTTACCTTCTGCTGATAGTAATATTTTGTATATGGATAGTTTATGCCTTTTTTTTTTCCTGGTTGATCTAGTGCTTTCCAAAATTATAGTTTATGATAACAGCATGTTTGAATCACTTCCTTTTCTTATCCACTGTTCATTACTGCTATATTTATATAGGAATTGGTTGTTTCTGCAATTTGTAGTGTTGCAGCAATAATGTGTGCTAAATATAATATGGTAGTACGTTTAATTTTAACTTGGGCAATTTTATACATAACATTAATTTTGTTTTCTGTCAAATTTTATTTGCAATGGATCTCTGGTCTTCTATTTTATTGGATGTAGAAATCCTGCCATCTTGTGAGTAGTTGGTTTAACTAGAGTGGTATGATGATACAAACTTTCAACATTCAATTATCTGAATGGTGTAGCTGCTAGTCAGTGTTCAATTATCTGAATGTCTCTGCTTTCTTTCAGAACCCATCCTACACAATTATGACCTATGTTTTAATTTTTAAAGACCGCCCTGTGTATTGCCAGGGGAAGGGAAGGTCTAGGTCAAAAGGCTGAATTGGGGTCAAACTGGTTGTCAAAAATAAATAAATAAATATACCACCAAAAATAGTTATTTTTCAATAATTAATATATGTAGATAAAAGAAATTAATAAACACGAGATAAAAGAACTTAATAAACTTGGCTTCATTTAATTTTCATTATGTCCACTTCTAATACAAAACTCAAAAGGACTATCATAGAAGGAACAATGTTCTATTGTTCATTTGTACTAAATAAATTTCCACTTGTACTGCTGCTTACTTTTCCTTTTTTCCTCTCTTGCTTTTTGCATGCTTTTTAGGCTATTTCGCATCTAGTCATTTCTCATGAGACCATATTGTGAATCTATTGTGTTCTCTCATGATTGTATCTTCTGTGTTTTATGTAACAGGATTTGGGCTAATAGGCAGTCAGCCGCAAGGTCAAAGGAAAGAAAGATGAGGTATATAGCTGAGCTTGAAAGGAAAATCCAGGCTATGCAAGCAGAAGCTATGTCATTGTCTGCACAGTTGACCGTGTTGCAGGTGATGGTCACTATTCTTGTGTAAAATCTTGTTAATTATCTTAGTAGGTCCTCCCCACCCACAACACACACAGAGGCAAGCGCTAAAAGAGGAGGAAAAAAAGGAACAAACAAACATAAATGAAAGACAATAAGAAAAGGAAATGAAATCACTGCCTCCAGTTTCGGATTAGAATGACATTTTTATCCTCCAGGAGTCCAGAACTCTGCAACCAGGAGGTTGTCATTGTTGGGTGTGTGTGAGCCTAATATTTTCAAAAAAAAAAAAAAAATGGTGTTATAGGGTTATTTTGGGAAATTCGTACATGTATTAATTTTCCCTATTATTTGCTCCTATATAAAGGGTATTAGGGCGAGCCTCCTTTCTGTATGTCATAGTAGATAGAATATAGAGAGGTGTGAGTTCAAAATACATTATAGTTCTTCGTTGCAATTCTGCTGCGGTTTTACACCAGCTGGATGTAGCTCTTGTGTTGAGAGTGAATCACCCAAGTATGTGTTTTTCTTGCTTTTGTTTTTCCTATTTCGCACTATTAATTGCTCTCAGAAGTACGGATTATTCTTGAATCCATAAGAGTCATATATTCGGGCGTTGAGCAGTTATATTTCCTCCCTCCTGTGTAATAGATAGTCACTTAGTGTTTGGTAATAAACACACGGTAATATGACACACTGATAAGGGGAAAGATATATTTTATAGGTCATTGTGCTTGGTCTCAAGGACTGGTTTGTCTACTTCTCCTTGCTTTTATCCCCTTTAAATTGATATGTATTTTGCACCTATATTGATATATGCAAGAATGATATTATGTATTGACCTATTTTTTGCTTCTCCCAAACAGAGAGGTACAAATGACCTTACTGCTGAAAACAGTGAACTCAAATTGCAGCTGCAAGCAATGGAACAACAACTGCACTTGCAAGAAGGTAAGAATATATCCGTAGAGCTACCTTTGCAGGAAGATGTTGGTCCCATCCTTTCTTATAATCGTCTTTACCACTTTATGGCCAAAATTTTTTTGAAAGTAACAGGTTCAGACTAGAAATGACACTGACCTCAGAGTATAGTACTAGGCTGTCTCAACTTTCACTGGTTGACTCTATAGAACTCATTTGAACTACATTAAAGTTTTTCCTAAAGTAGATAGGCTATGTGTGTTGGTGACGCCTACTGGAGCTTTCTAACTTGGCCTGAAAAGCAAAAAGCAATGTGATTCTGAATTTCTTGTGGTCAAAATACAAACATGCAGACGTGATTCCATACGAGGCCCAATTACTAAAGGTAGATTTTGGATGATGCACTGGTGTCATCCTTTCTCATGGTGATATTGAAATCTTTCGATAGTTGAACGATTTATAGTTCGTGTTTCTTAAGCCTTTCTCTGGAACTTTGATGGGTTTTTCCCCCTTGACCCAAGAAAGTGCTAAATGAGTTTTCTACTTTTCTTTTCTTCTTAATAAACATAGCGATGAATGAAGTTACAAAGGAAGAGATCCAGCATCTGAAAGTGTTAACGGGTCAAGCAATTCCAAATGGTGGACCTATGATGAGTTTTCCCGCATCTTATGGAGCCAAGCAGCAACGTTATCCTAACAACAATGCCATGAATGCATTGTTAACTGCTCAACAATTTCAACAGCTCCAAATAAATTCTCAGTTTCAGCAGCATCAACTGCACCAGTTGCAGCAGCAACGAGCTTCATTGCAGCAACAAGAACAGCAGCTGCAACAGGCTTTGGACTTGAAACAGAGTACTTCTCTGCCGACTCCCATTAAAAAAGAGAATGCTACTGCAGACACGCCTTTAAAGAACTAGAATCTCGAACTGGCATATGCACTGGCTGTTGGATGGTTAGTTTGGTTTTATGCTTTTGGTTAATACGTTAGATGTACTATGCTATGTACATCTAACTTGACATGGGTAGGCAGTCTGTCAAAGTTGAGTTTATTAAATCACGAAGATTATTTAGTCAAATAATGCCCTTTACAGAATCTGGAACTGGCTGTTGGTTTCCAGAATCTTGTGAGGGTGTAGTATTGTTCAGTTGTGCTTTATACGGTAGATTATGTCACCAACATCGCTCTATAGGCCATCTGTTAAATTTCAGTTTATCGAATATTATTTATGAAAATATCGTCCTCTAGAACGTTAGTTTTCTGTATGAAAAATTCATTTACAGTTGTCTTGACCCGCTCGAAATGCATGATCAAGCAGAGATGAACAAAATTTAACACACTGCGAATTTTGCAATCAATTTCAATGATAGTCGAGTCTAGCGTACTAAACATATCATATAAATGTCAAGGAAATAATAGCCTTTGTTTCTGACCTTACTCCATTTCTCAGCTGGTTATAAATCTTACGGTTCTTGTTACATTTTGCTATTTGTTATTGCAAGGTGATATGAGTGGATGAACCACCATATCGTTGAAATCTATTTCTACATAATATCGATGTGCTAAGTTGGTGATCATGTTTGAACTTCCTCTGTGGTCGAATAAAAAACGACATTTAATCTGGCAAATGTTGATAACTTCCCCTTTACCTCGGCCAAAAGAGGCTCGAACCCAGGCCAATGAAGATTTTACAGCTTCTAGTAGCAGATGATACTTAGCACCGAAAAAAGAAGACGACAAAGTCGCATTCATTTGAAGCTACAATGCAACAACTGGATACATGTTAATATCTTATAGATGAAATTATAATGCGTACTAATAAAATAGTTAAGCATTAAGAAACAAAGACCGAAACTTCAATTTTTTTAGAAGTTTCTTATTTCAAAAGTATAGTCAGGCAATTTCGCTATAAAACCTAACTACTTATTCAAAATGGGATAGCTTAAAGCTAAGAGTTTCGAAGATTTACAGCTAAATTGATGACCAATAGAATTATCTACATGATTGTGTAGCCTGGGCCACCACCACCTTCTGGAACTTTCCATTCGATATTCTGTTTCGGGTCTTTAATATCACAAGCCTGGAAAAGTATAGCCAAATTCAAAAACTCAACCGCGTTTAGGACTTCGTCCGACAAAATAATTTTGGAGAAAAACAGTTGGCTGCATTAGTGCATGCTTAATAGAGGCACACGACCTCTTTAAAAGCCTTCAACACGTGTTTCTTAATTCTAAGTTACCTTGCAATGCAGGCAATTCTGAGCATTGATCTGAAGCTTTAACTGACCGCTTTCATCTGGTATGTACCTAACAATTACACCAGGATAATAGAGAGAGTCACTTAATAATGAAAAAGAAACTGATATAATTCCACCAAATATGAAGCATGTTTACTCATAAACACGGGCAGGACAATATCTTGATTCAGGTCCAGCATAGACAGGCAAGTTAACAAGTTCTGGAATTTTAGGATCCTTCAAGTGAAGATGAGCTGGTTGGTCGTGATCATGATTTGTATTGCTCCTAAAAGACGGATGAAATAGAAATATTAGTAACTACACAAGACAAAGTTGAATAGAGAGTCGCAGGCAGATTTCTTTGAACTACTGATATAATAACATTGCACTCACTGTTGATTCCTTCAATGATTCTCACTAATAAATCATCGGATAGAACATTCTAGTATAATAAGCTCAGGTCATGAAAAAGTTATTAAATATTAGAGGGAAGAAAAGCTTTTTGTGATCCTTGATGCTTGTTAGATGAATGGAGAACTTGTTGGGGACAAATTATTGAAGTGCTGACTGAGTCCATATTCGTAAGTATTTTCTCTCTCTTCCAAACTCATATTTTAGGCTAAGCGGCTGCAACCTCTCTCCATTCTCAGCCCATCCAGCACAGAGCATTTCTCTGCACTCATCTGTCTGTGACTCATCCAAATTTTTTCAAGTTGCAATTAAATCCCATCCAAGTGATGCTTAAACAAAAGTGAACCAAGAACCTAATAAGATGAACAGTAATGGCTAGTAACACATATAATCTTCATTTTCCTCTGGCCTAACAAATCTAGATAACTTTTAGCAACCAAAGTTTAAAATACTGAAGAATTTAATATCTCACCAAATTCAAATCCCCCCTCCCACCAAAAAAACACACACACACACACAGAGAGAGACAGATAGGGAGAGTACCGGTACAAAGAGGTTGGAATATCAAATGATATAACCCCATCGGGCTTTGGATAGTTAATTGGCGTGCATCGTTGTGCTTCCTGAAAATATTGGAGACCAATAAACACAAGTCTATAATTATCACAATTCATCATTGATATTAGCGCACACTATTTATACCCTAAAAGTTTATATTCACTGATCTTCTCAGAGTAAAAAAACAGGAGAATTTCACAGTAGCTCAGCTGCTCATGTAAAATCTAGAAAATGAATTTGATGGCTAACAGTGGAAGCAAGTTCGTTTTTAAGATCTCCTTGTGCATTTCCTTGAGGAAATATATATTCCTCTGACTTCACCGTGGCAGCTTTATAATGACAAAGAATTGACTTGAAAAACTTCAGTTCTCATTGAAGAGAATCTTTTAGCTGATTTCATCCGAGGAAAGCAGGGAAATTTGGAAACTATTCCCAGAAAATTGACATCACACTACACTTTTTCCAGTTACGAAAACATGCATATGAAAAGCTAAGGAGTTCAGTCCTTCAAACTATTTTTCAGAAAATCAAATATATTCAAGCAGGCGGTGCACATTATCATGTAGGGCATCTTATGTGGCCTATCAGTCTGTCACAAACAATCTTACAATTTAAAGAAACATAAAATGATCCCTATACTTGAGTCAGATTCCAAGTTTCATTAACATAGTTTATGATTTCCCTTTTATGTTCACAACTGTAAAACTGTTGTAATACATCCCTAAACAATCTGACAATAGTGGAATATATGATGAACTTTTTATTTCTTCACAAGTCTCTACCTCAATTGACTCATGATCAGGTTTTCCATGCTTCAGCGTCCATGGGGATCTTCCTTTCATGATGTAGCTGCCAAAGGCAGAAGAAAACTTTTAGTTACCATGTCATTGATCAAAGCAGTAAATGAAATCAGCCTCACTAGAAATCAACATAACGTGCATTTTTGGTAAATACAAATATCTTACTGTTCTAGTGCACTTAGAGTCAAACCAGGAAAGAGACCATACTCAAATGCCTGCAGCACCAGAGGACACAAGGTATTTCAGAGAAGTTACAAAGGAAAATTTTTCACAGGTGTTCAGAATTAAAGAGATTTCTTACTAAGAATAAAACTGAGAACTGTTTTCTGTATCCATAACCTTGACCAACGTGTAAATTTAGATATGACCAAGTCAAGGAGTAATATTTGTCGTCTAGTAAATATAAATAAGAAGGAAAATGTACAAGATCACAAAGGAGATCAATCACAATACTCACTGGACGATAGTTTCTTGCACTGTAAAGTTCCTTCCATATCCATGAAGTTCTTAAATTGTCCCAGAAGGATTCCAGTGGGGAGCCTTCTTGGAGCGTGTTGAATGCAGATTCTGCAGCTAGCATGCCTGTGGCAGAAAGGTAATTAGACATGAATATACCCTCAGTTCCATTTTCATCATATACATAAAAAGAAACACTTAGCCTGCTGTTCATCAAATTAATCACACGTACAGTTCTAATGTTTTCACATATATTATTTGTCTCAGAGACTCAAAACTTAATCTGCTGACAAAATGCTTCCCGAATTTTTAGCCCACCCAGTCTAATACTGTAAGCACATCTCAATCAGATTGGTCAGGGAATATTCTCAAATCAAATGGAAGGTATGTAATTTACATGTGAACAAGGAATAACCCAATTGCAAGGCTCAAAGGTTTTTTCTATATCAGCAAGTTTCTCTTTTACATGTTCTTTAATGTATCCATCTAACCCATCAAACAGGTCCAAATTTACTATATGTTTCTAAGAAAATAATGTAAGACATGATTTTGTTTATGGTAAGATGTGACTTGGATGAGAAAAGAAATTATATAAGAACATAATTGTACATCAAACAAATTTGCATCATTGTTGGAAATGTTATTTAGTACTTGGAAATAACATGGTATTGGAAAAGGGTTGAGATGTCTTTATGTTGCTTGAGAGTGGATAATTAAATGCTGTTAATATTGATCAATAAATCTAGCAGTAACACATGAGTGCTGCTTTAGTCTTGTGCACTGCAGTTTGAAGCCAACATAAAAATTACAGAGAAATTATGTTAATAAACTCTCCTGGTATATAAAAACCTAGATTACCAACCAAGATGATGATGATGATGATGATGATGATATATATATTATGCACCTCAACAATATATGTTTTATGTATCAGTCGAAATTATTGAAATGACGTAGCATGAGCCCATGTTTACTTCACTATTTAAGATTTTCAGGTGGGCAATGGTGATGTAAGACATTCTCATAGAAAGATAGCTTGTTGAGTATGAGAAATCACTCTCACTTATTTTTCATGATTTGGAAAAAACTGCTTTTGATTTTTATGTTCTGTTCAGAACATTTCATTGTCAATACAAGAATCTAATTCCATGTTCAATCTGAACAATGTGACATTATCCATGTGTGGTATCTCTCCACAGATATATAGCTCACTCAATCTCTTGTTGGTTGTATGGGCCAGCATTTCAGCAAGAATAGGTAAAAAAAGAAAACTACAGCAGAACATTATAGATGGTAATTTGCAGTTCCTTGAATATCACTGGATCTCAACAGCCTCGCGATTAGTATATAAATTATAATATGTCCAGACATCATACATAATTGTCTCATCCTTCACCACCAAATCTCAAGTAATAATTAGATAGAAAAAGTAAAATCATGCAATTAGCAAGTATTACCTGATTTCATCGCGGTATGTGATCCTTTTATTTTTGGTACATTCAGGAATCCGGCAGAACACCCTATAATTGCTCCACCCGGAAAAACTGGATATGGAATGGACTGAAATTTAACTAACGTCATATTTGCATTAGTATAACATCTAAAAAACATTTTATGAAAATGTAGTGTCAAAATAATAATCAGCATTCAGCAATATGTCCATATGAATGTCAATCAAAATGTTCGCTTTTGTGCTTTGAGTTGCAGCATAAAGTTGCATCAGGCTCAGCATTTTCATTTGTGAATATACTCTTAACACCATCTTAAGAGTGTGTGCAATTATCTCCACATGCTGCTATGTTTTTTTATTTTTTAGGTATATGATGTAACATTATCAACAATAAAGGCAAAAGAGTATTTCAGATGCACCTGATAACCGCCTTCGTTTAGAGTACGAGCACCATACTGAAGTACCGATCCCCCTTCAAGAAGAGGTCTGATGGCAGGATGATGCTTAAATTTCTGGAAGAAAAAAAAATGATAAAGGGTATCCATTATCCAAAAGAAGCTAAACAAGTGTTCACTTCTCTCAGACAAAGGTATGAGACATAATGCACACATTTGGGCAGGAATTTAGGAAAATAAACATAAGGAGAAGTTCCGTCTGGAACTTTTCATTCTGTACTCCTTACTTGACTAGTAGGGGAGGACAAAGATCAGAGTAACTGAATCAGAGACGAATTGACAAAAAAAGTAACAATAATTCTTCGAGGAAGATCATAAGTCTGCTGTGTTCACTTAAGAATAGTTCTTTGAGAAGGTTTAACATTACAAGTCAGTACAATAATAACCATTGGTTTCTTTTACTTTGATGGTTTGTTTATATTATTAGCAAGCAATGATAGCAAATATATTGGAAATACAATGTCAAATAAGAACAATAAAACAGATTATGCATAGAGCTATATTGTAAACATCCACCTACTTCAAACGTTTCATCTCTCTAATACTGCTTGTTATTTAACATATGTTTCATTTACATTAAATCATAGTCGCATACATGTTTATCGTCTTTGTCAATGTCTGGTAAAGAGTCAATGCAATCAGATTGTTAGACCACTTGTAAAGGTTCAGATCAATTTCTTGATTAGTAAGTTGCAAGTTTGTTTGCTGCTTTCTATGGCTAAATATTTATGTCTTATCAAAACATTGCTGAATTCTTTTGTGTTCCTAGAGCTATACAAATTCCCTAATTTATTATGTATTCAATTTTTTCCTTGTTGGATTAAGTTCACCTGACTCAGTCCTGAATCGTAGAAAGTTTGTTCCCACGGAAGCTTCACAACTGAAAAATAGTCACCTTTCATAAAGTTTTTTTTCAATTTTTTCATAATCATAGTTAACAATTGAATGGATTTTACTCGAAGACATAGTTTTAAAGGCACCATTTGTTTCTTTTCCAAACCTTTATTTATGTATTAATGGAAACGTGTAAATCCTTTAGACTGTGTTATCTACATATAATGGTAAGGGTTCCTTGGACTGTGGACAGCCCAGGCAATAAACCAGCATCATACTTTTAGTAAAATCCAACCCCAGCCAGGGCAAACAAACCAAGGCCAACATCCAACTTGTTGATCTAATTATAATTTGGCTGAACTACACATGTGATGGAAAAGATCATTCTGATTATAGCATGCATGATAACAGACAAATTTCTAACACACAATACAAATTATAATAGAAAGATCCTAAGATCATTTTTCTTGATGCACATTGTTCAGATCTTTACTCAATTCCGAGACAATAATGACACGATATAAACCTGATTATTAGATATTCAATTTACATGAAATGGTGTCTCCCATATATATACTAGTAGAATAAGTCTGTTGATAAAACCAGATTCAATAATTTTACATCATTAGCCCCTTGGTATCTAAAGTTTCCTCCACATGCAGAAATTAGCACTGATTCAAGAGCTACAGAAATATAAATTAAAGGAAGTATCCTCCAACTACAAGTTTATGACAGAAGTCATTTTCTAGAAGAATTACAACGACGAAATCTCTATAATAACAAAAGTGGGTGAAATTGAGAAATCTAATGAAAGATTTGCCAACATTCAACATAAACCGAACTTCTTGTACTCAAAATCTTCCAGTGTATACAAGATCATAAAGAAGTAAGAAGACAATGAAACAACAATACACCAAATTTACCTGAAATTCTTCATAAGGGTTAAAGAATGGATTGTGATAATTCAATGCAACCACAAAACCAAGAGCCACCTGTACACCAACAATACAAGACTAAGTAATTCCAAACTCATATTTTCAACATGCAAGTAGCTTGACTCAACTACTAGAACAATTAGATGTAGTAGAATCTGCCATTCTGTACAAGAAGATTTGAGTAGCATAGCTGGTACAGGTTTTAAATATAGAATTTAGGTTCCCTGTTAGAATAATTGATCAATCTTTCCTTTTAATTAATGATTTCCTAGGATATCATTCAGATTCTTTCATTTTTTTTCCTCAGCAAATCTATATATTGTTTGTATTAAGAGTTTCACAAAACTAGGTCATATATATGGCTATCAAAGCCAGATATTAGAAAAATATGTATGCTTAGGGCCTTTGATGCGAAAAATGAACACACAGGGCACGTGAAAGGGTGTGTTAAAGATACAATTTAAATAAATACATATGCCCATCCCCACACCCCCTCTTTCTCAAACAGCTTAAGCTTTTTAAATGAGATTTTACCAAAGCTTCAAGAGTTTATTGAGACAAGAGTTCTTTACTTCTTGGATGGTTTAAATGAGGAACCAGCTTAAGCTTCAAAATGAGATGGTTAACAAAGCTTCAAGAGCTTGAGTAAGAAAGAAGCGGTTTTTGATGTCTTGGCTGGTTTAAATGAGAAACTGGACCAAGTTAAAATCCAAATAGGGAAAGAAACACTCCTTCGAATGAAGCACTTGAAATTGAAAGGGAAGAAGGTCGCATAAACATGATGTTGGATAGTGCTAATTCCACAGGTTTATAGCTTTAGCCAATTTTAAACCACAAAAGGTAAAGCAGGTGCTGTTGTTGCTACTGATGGTAACCTTGGAAAATTTGTAAGGACAGGCAGGGTGACAGAGAGTGTCTCTGGTGTAGTTTCTGTCACAAGAATAGACATACCAGGGAACACTGTCGGAATCTAAATTGTAAGACTCCAATACTGTTGTCCAATAAGGAGAACTTAAAGAAGAGAGAGACAGGCTCAAACAGTACATTTCAAAGCTGGAAAATCAAGGGGGGGTCTAGTTACTTTGCCCAAAGAGGTAAGCATTCTCTAGCTCCAAGCGCCTCAAAATGTCAGTTTCTAGTTGGACTATAAATGCAGGGGCTTCAAACCACAACAGATTCATCCAATTTTTTTTCTTTCAGCCCCTGCCTGGCAACAAATAAAGATTGCTGACTGAACTTTAGTCACTATAGCTGGTCGAGGACACATTTCCCTTGCACCAACCTTAACTTAAAAATTGTTTTGCATGTTATTAGGATCAATCGAGACATTTCCCCACAAGCAAGACATCAATGTTTAATTATGAAGCACCATAGCCACAGAGACGTAATATGATCATTACCCAAACTTCATAGTCCATGCCATCCCAAGGTCTTTCAGCATCCTCTCGTGAAAGCACAAACATATAGCATTACGAAAGTTCCAACTTCCAATGCAGGCGCTCTACCATTCTTTCAGAATCTTATAACTTCATTTGTGTACTGCAACTAGAAAAACTTAGAAGTCAAGTAAAATTGCAACTTCTCTCCCTCCCCTCAACCCGATGTCATGATGAAAATTTCTCTCGGGGCACCTACATGACAGAGGAGGCCAGCCAAGAAGAATTCAGAAATTCTTACTTCAGTCAACTAAAAAACAGGGATAACCTTTCTATAAATCAGTGCGAGCCACTTCTACCCACGAAGAGTATCCTGCCTCTAAATATAATCTTTCATTTGGGTATTAAATTTTGAAACATTATTCACACATTCTGTCGCTATTTCTGGAAGTATTCTCTATCTGATTACACAACGTAATTAGTTAGGTTAAGTTGGCCTTTTAGCCCTTAAAGCAGTTATTTAACCTTCTGAATATTTTTTGAACAATGATAAAATCTTTAGAGTAGATTTCTCCAATCAGAACACTCCATTGGGGATCACAACTATTAATTAATGTGCCACTTCTCCTAGAAAGTTAATGTATTAATGAGGAGTACCTGTCTATCTTTCATATGGTACAAGAAAGATCCCCCATAGGTCTTGCGGTCCAATGGCCAGCCTATTGTATGAAGTACAGAGCCAGGTTCATGATTGTCTGCACTAATTTCCCAAACCTGGCAAAGAAATAGCTTGAGGAATCTGGAGTGAAGCACTCTAAATCAAATATGTACGTACAGCATTATTGAAGCACCAAGACAAGAATATGTGTCTTCCTAGAAAAATTACCTCTTTGATTCCTAAAGCATAAGTTTGATGTTGTCCATGCCCTTTCTCTCGCAAGTTGTATTTTCTGATTATTTTCTGTGCATAAATCATTGAAAATGTTCAAATTGGTGAATCGTCAAGCTGATGCTTAGAGACAAGGGTCGATTTCTCCAAACCTCTGACAAAGATCCTCTACATCCTTCTGCAAGAAGAGTTACGTGTCCTGCATGTGCCAGATAATAATCAGAAAAATGGAGCTACCAGTTACCAAACAAAAGCCTAAATAAATAGCCCATAGGTTTTTCATATCGGACAGTTAAGCAATGGTTCATATGATCTTTTTCCCTGAAGTACGAACTATTCTCTACCCCTGTCCTCCCATGGCTTCCCAGGTCGTTAGCAGATGTAGATATGTCATAGGCAATGAAATTTCATAAGGATAGAATAAATCAATAAATACATCGCATTGTTTTGTCCACTTTATGGCATAAATTTTTTACTGCGATAGATCTGCCCTAAAGAAGGAAGTATTGGCAATGTGGGATTCTCCAGCTTAAAATCTTCTTCAAATGAAATGAGAATAAGATAAAATAAGGTCATAAACTTGCCCTTCAATTCCACACCAGGCTGAAAGTTGTCTTTTCTAGAGCCATCTTTGGCCACTCCCATATCATTGGTTGCAATACCAATAACCTTGTCACGCGTGTCGTACAAAATCTGCACGTGTATAACAAATGAGGGTAGACAATTATAAAATATTACAAAAGGAAGTTGATAAAAATGTAAATACCTCACTAGCAGCAAAACCTGGGTATATCTCAACTCCTAGTTCTTCAGCCTTCAGTCCTAACCAGCGCACTAACTGACTCAAACTGCAGCACTACATATACAATAGTAAAATGCACAGAAAAATTGCAACTGTGTAACTAGAAAATGTAATAAAAAACAACATTTATTTTATATATGGGGACCAAGGACACTCAATAGGAACACCAGTTGTTCTGGCTAGGAACTCCACGGAAGAAAGGACGAGGGGCGAAATCAGCCCAAAGATTAACAGTAAAGAAACTTATTTTGAGGATAGACACTACAGTGTCCAATTCACTCTTGACAGCCAGAGTACATGGACATTGAAAAAGATAGAAAATAGAGAATACATGGAGTCAACGGATAGAAATTAAATGACAAACGAACCAACATCCGTAAGCATTCACTTCATCATTTTCAAAGACAAAAAAAAGGCCTCAAGCTATACGCGTTTCCCTTTGTGTGGTAAAAGACATTAGAAACGCATATAATTACCTTATGACATAGTTCCCTTCATTATTGAATGGACATGGAAGGGAGAAAGCACGAGTCTCAGAAAGTAACCAAAACTTATCAGAAGAAACAGGGACATGGATTGGTGCCTGCAATTAATATAAGCAAACTAGGGTCAAAGTTGGAAGAAAAATAGGGGATTTAAACAAGAGTAAGTGGACATTAACAAGATATTGTATAGCTTAGTTAAGCTGCACTTGTCAACATCCTACGTAACCCATGGTGCGGTAATGAAAATGAGAGTTATATAATGAAATGGAAAGGTTGATGAATAAACCTCCTCCTGTTTCCACTGAGGGAGAAGTTCATTCAAAGCTCGAGGTTCGAAAACATTCCCGGATAGGATATGAGCACCTACAGAATCAAATGACAACATCAATTTCATCTTCCACTTCCACCAATGGGTTGCGTACATACACACGGCATTTAGATTGTCCTCAAATTTTGCAGGGGAAATGATTTAGCTAAATTTGCAGGAAGAAGGTACCACTTCACATTTATCAAAAACCAACAAGAAAATCACAATTTGCCTTTATTGTATAGTTTCAATAGTTTAAAGAGAGCAATAGAATCATACCAACTTCAGCTCCCTTCTCCACAACACACACTGATAAATCAACATCATTTTCTTTGCACAATTGTTTCAATCTTATAGCTGCTGACAATCCCGCGGGGCCAGCCCCAACAATCACAACGTCGTAGTTCATCGATTCTCTGCACACTGGTTGGCTACCGAAACTCCTCACTCCACTCGAAGTCGCAATATTTGTTGGAATTACTAAATACCCAGATGAGAAAAACCAATTTTTACTTCGGTTAAAAGTTTTGATCTTTGTTGAATTTAGAGAATACCCACAGCAGAAAAAGTTGTTTATACCACAATGGGTATGGAAGAAACTTGAGCTATTATAAAAAATATTGCGAAATGGAAACTCAGTTCTGGTTGAAGTACAAAGAGGTTTTGATGAATATAAATGGATCGAAGGAGATGATAATAATGTCAATCTGGATTTGGGTTTAGAGGAAAGACGAATTACCCGCAGCATGATTGAGAGAGAATTTTGATTGCAGTTCGAATCAGGAGTGAATTGGAGGTATACAAAAAGGAGCGGCTAATGAGCTGCTTTTAAGCTTAGCCAAACGTGCTCTAAATCGAATTGGATAAGCACAATTAAAGATAAGATTCGTAAGAATGTGTTTTATTTTATATAGTGGATGAATCTGATAAATTATCAAAATATAAGTACTTAACCACATCAAACTTATTATTTACCCAAATAAACCACAAGCTCGAGTTAAGACTTTAGACCTCTGGCTTGCAGCTTGCTTCCAATCCTAACTAGGCGCACGGACACTACGGAAGATACACATAGTTCAGTGTTTGTTCTCAGCTAACATATCAACGGCAACGGTAAACCTTTGATGCATGATTCATTTTCATTTCGACATTATTGGGTTTCTCTTTCTATGAGAGCTGCTAGAGTAGATTTTAATTTCTTGTTGTAACGAAGTGTGCTTGTTATGCTTGCTCTATTCTATAGTTTTCTCTGCTTTGCTTACTATCTGTTTGTTTTTATTCCCAAACGATCAAAATGCAAGTATTTCTACTGAAGCCTGTTCAGCCAGGGACAGGACAAGTTATAAGTTTTTGTGTGAAGTTCACAACCGTTGTTCACCGATGCATTAGTACTTCCTAAAACATATACATGCATGTGCATACGAATCCTATAATTTTATGTAGCAGCCGGCTTACTTTGGCAATATCACTCTTGATGCTGCCAAAACAGCAAGA